CAATATGGTGTCCCATAGAGACAGTGGTACTGTTATTAAGAACAAGTAAGTTGGATTGTTGATCTAGTAGCTAAGTCTGTGTTTACCAGGGCATTTGACAAGGTCAGTACTTAAACTTGACAAAGCAAATTTCAGTCTCTATAATATTTGCAATTCTTAAAGCTACAAGTCATTCAAGGTTGTCTTGGTTTTAAATAGAGTAATGCTTGGTCTTTGTCTTCTAGATTCAGGGCAACATCACTCCCCATGCTATCGTCATCTTGCCTAAAACAGATGGAATGGAGATGCTTGTTTGCTATGAGGATGAGGGTGTGTACGTGAACACCTACGGCCGGATCACTAAGGATGTGGTGCTCCAATGGGGAGAAATGCCCACGTCTGTGGGTAGGTTAACCATTCCTTATCTCCTTCAGCAGTTACACTCCCCAAATGAAACGAAAGTCAAGAAATGTGAAACAACCATTTGAGTCCACCAAAAAAAAAAAAAAAAAATGTCTGTGAATAATAATTGTAAGACTTGCTTTCGTCTGTTTAATCTCAAGTCATTTGTCGTTTTTGTGGTTAAGATGTGAACAGATGCTGTGAGTTATTGCCCATCTAATGTTTTTAATGCAGTTTTGGAAATTCCTTTTGACAGCCTACATTCATTCCAATCAGATAATGGGCTGGGGCGAGAAAGCTATTGAGATCCGGTCAGTGGAAACAGGACATTTGGATGGAGTATTTATGCATAAGCGAGCTCAAAGGTTAAAGTTTCTATGTGAAAGAAATGATAAGGTAAATCCGTTTCAACTTTGCATTAGTGTTTGCATTTTAAGAGACCACCAGGTACCTGTGAAACCTTCATTTTCCTTTATACTGATTCGAGTCACATCTGTGTTAAATGATCAGCAATTATCTTGAAATGGCATTATTTGGTTTGATTCATGTGAACATTCAGAATCTGTGATTCATGCATCCAAACCAACATAAACATCCCGAATTTTCTTGTAAACTCTTAGTTTAAACTCTGGGCCTTCTGATGACTTAGCAGACACTCCAGACTCTCCTGAGCACTTAGAGCAGTTGGCCCATCATCAGTCATCTTACAGTGGGCCAGCTTTATACCTTCACGCTTGGGTCTTTCACCAAATCACTATTCGGACCCAACCTTCATATTGTATTCACCCTTCAGTGTGAAACATCTGACATGTAGAAATATGAACTTCTTTAAAATGTCACCCATTCCTTAAGAAACGTATAGTCACAAATTCCACTCGTGCCATGTCTTGTCTCATTCCAGCATGTTTCTCCTGAAATGTCATGGGGGGACTATTCTTCAGCGAAAGTGGCTGAGTCCATCCAGCAAGATCAGTCACCTCAGAGGGGTATTCTGAAGTGGTCACGCTCGGCCTCATTATCCCTATAGAGTAGCCATAGTAGTTAAGGTGAACTGCATTTGTGAATCCATCCTTTGAGATGGCCATCATAGCAACAGACACGAACGCCTAGAGAAAGAATGTGCTGGGTTGAACTGTTTACACGTCATTGCTCCAGTTCCAGTTCCCCAGAGGCCAAGGCTAGTCTTCGTCCGTCCCTGGTAGTGTGGATGTAGACTATCTCTGACCCTGGCTAACTACTCTGACCTGGTATTGTCTGGTGGACAGCAAGTGTGGGAGGCAAGAATGGTACCAAGGACTTATCAGAGTGTGTCAGAAACCAGATCTAACTAGAAAGACTCCAGCACTTACACAGTTTCTAGATCCTAAGACTTGTAATGTTCTGGGTATGGAGAATCACACTCTGGTTCACGATGACCCACCTGAGCAGGCCTGGTCCAACCCATACTCTGAAGAGAAGGCTGAGACCACACACCAGTGCCTAGGGCCTCAGGTTGAGCCTCTAGGACCCCCACCTAGGGAGAACAGCAACCCTTTCTCTCACTGTACTTTTCCCTATATCCTCTCTGACCTCCCCATTTTGATTCATTAACCTTCAGGGTATCTTTACTTTCACGAGTAGATCAGCTGAATGACAAGCAGTTCCACAAGCTTCTTAAGATGCTATCAGCAGAGAGCATTCTCCCAAAGAAGCCATGGAAATGAAGTATCAGAGACTTTACACTAGTGATCAACGCAAATTGCTCAGACCACAACTAGACACTGGCTGCCTGCAGGGCTATACTACAGCCCAAACATTATCTTCCCGGGACAGTGGTTCATTGGTAATTCAGCTCAAGCAAGCAGTAACCCAAATTCCACTTGCTTCACTCAGTCATTTGATAAAAATGATTGAACAGGTTCAGACCTAATGGACTGTGGCTCTGCTCACTGATGCCATTCTCTCCATTGTTCTAGAATCTGCCCACATCAGCAGAGAAGCCAAGTGTTAACTCCTGCAGTGCCAGACTGAACAGCTATTCAACACCTTAGCCTGTCCGACCACAGTCGTTTTAATATCTTATTTTCAAGTTTGAAATTTGAAAACTCAGGTTGTGTGACAGTCAGTAGGCCCAAAAATTCTGCCCGTGACTTTGGGAGTTTAAAGGGATTCTCTTCCGTCCTGACATCTGCCTCTGTGTCATTTATAAGAGAAAAGGAGAATGTGTAGCTTTCTAGAAATCATTGTCCCGGGCCATATGTCCAGCACATCACCCTAGTGTAAAGTTCCTTCTTAAAATGTGAACACCCACAAGGATGTTATAAACCAAAATGAAGCCTGATACAGCTCCTAGAGTCTGGTGCTGTGATAAATAATAGCAAACAGCCATAAGTGAGGGCAAAAAACGTTTACATAAGATGCACTATCTCAAAAGTCACTTTGTACACACCGGCCACTGACACTCAGAGGCTGCCACAGGGCCAGGGATAGGGACATGAGAGAGAAATGGCTGGACAGGTGGAAAAAGAAGGGGAAAAACCCATGCAGTTGAACTAACTTGTTTTTAATTTCAAACAGGTATTTTTTGCATCCGTGCGATCTGGAGGAAGTAGCCAAGTGTTTTTCATGACCCTCAACCGAAATTCCATGATGAACTGGTAACAGGAGAGCACTTGGCACTTATCTTCATGGCGTTATTTCTAATGTAAAAGAACATAACTCATGTGGACTTATGCCAGTCTAGAGGCAGAATCAGAAGGCCTGTTGAACGTTCCACTTTCCCTGTTTCCTCTCCCTCCACCCCTCCCAATACAGTCCCTCTCTCTGTGTTGTAGCTGGTTGAGAAGGAGAGAAAGAGGGGGCAGGAATGTCTGGGAGATCCCCAAGGATGCTGCGTTGTCTGTGGACAGAGATGGACCTTGTGCCCTTCGGAGTTAGGGATAGAAAACAATATTGTGTGCTCTTATAATTAAGCTGTGTTTAACCTGGCTTTTCGGTTCTTTTGTCCTGGGTGTTTGTTTTGTTTTTAATTTTTTACTTTCTTTCTTTACCCCTTACTTTGGAAGAATGGTGAGAAAATGCGGACTAGGGAAATGGGTCCGTTTTTAATTGTCTACCCACTAGCTTTCAGTATATGGTATGTTGTAAACTTTTAATTCCAGAAGTGAGAGACAGCACAATAAACATCCCTTACCTCCCTGCACTGAAGCCCGTAAGAGAGATAAGGAAGAGCTCTCTTGCCTTCACCAACTCAAAAGGTTGCCTTTTGATCGCAACTGGCTAATGAATTTTTAAAAGAGAAGAAAAATACTAGTTTTCTCCTCTTTGGAGAAATAGATTTTAAATGGCTAACTACTAGCCTTAATCTAATAAAATCAACTACCACTTTTGTGAGCCGGGCAGGCCATATTTTGATATGGCTCTGTCTAGAATGGAGGGTGTTGAATGGGACAGAGATGTCATTGAGTTGAGTGGGCCTTGCGATTGTGGAGGGATTCTGGGGTGCAACTTTCCCTCGGCTATTATGCAACAGATCAGGGCAAAAGATGGGGTGGCAGATGGGTCCCCCAGAAGGAGCTTCTGAGAGATGAGCTGATATGTCCATGTAAATACACATTCATTCTTTCTTAAAGGTACAAAGCCTCCCTGCTAAGAGGTCACTTGATTTGGACTGTCATAGGACTGAGATTGTTGCATTCTTTCTGGGAACTGGAGATCCAACAACCAAGCTCTGGATAGACCCAGCTCTCTCCTAAGGGTTCCCCTTTCTCAAGATGAAAACTGTGACTGAGAAGAATTCTTGATAAATGTTTCTGAGTTGCCTGTGTTCTCCCTGGGTCAAGGGACTGGACTCTTCAACCTGCCTCAGACTCAGCAGGCATCAATGGCTCAGATTTTAGAGAACCTGAAAGCACGGCTTTGGCCAAAATTCTGAGATCCTAATCATTTTACTTTCCTCCAAATTTCCCAACATACAGTAAACAACATCTGTGAAGAGATATGTATGTATTTAGTTCAGGTTGACTTGTGTCCTTATAAACTCTTACTCGGATGATTTGAACCTTTATGTGACTGGGATTTTTTTTTCCAAAGCTACAAGCATGACGTCCATGGTATCGAGGTGTCGCAAAACGATATCTGTGTTGTGCTTCCTGTTTTAACCTACCTCGTTTTGTTTTTGTTTCACTGTCCATCACAGCAGGGTTTTCTCAAGGAGACATATAGAGAGCTCAATTGGCAATCTCAAGTGTATTCCAGGTTTTCAAAACAAACAGTAGTTGACCAAATTGTTCTTTAAAAATTGGATGGGAAAAATAATCCAAGGACAAAACTTAATATGTTTTATTTTTAAAGAACACAATTACTGTAAATGGATCAAAAAACAAAAACAAAAACAAAAAAGAGATCCTACTGATTTTATCTAAATAAATGAGCAGCTGAGGTACTATTAATGAGAACGAAACACACATTAGGAAAATGGTACCATTTTAATCTTGTGGTTTGGCCAAGGGGCAAGGGAAGGGGAAATATTCTGGGTTCTAGACTAGGTGGTTATGCCCACCCACTCCCCCAAAGGTGATTGTCGTTTGCATTTATTTGAAGCAGGTAACACGCAGGAAAATAACCAGGGATTATCTTCAGGCAATCACCAGGATGCCCCCCCCCCCCACTGTGGTCCCTCTAGCTCTCCAAAGCAATGCAAACCTTCCGTTCCGTTCTCATTTTTACTGCTGTTGTTACGCTGCCAAACAACGTTGTCTTCACCAATTCCTTGTGACAAATTCAGCAATAACTGGATTGAATTTAGCAACTACTGTACTTGGATGCTGATGTGGACAAAAACTGTGTTGACTTGGGTCTTGTCCGGAATGTGATTGCCACCAGCTCTTTATATTGCTGCTGTGGTATTTTAAACCAGACGCTTCTTTAAATTATGTTGCAAACTGATCTTTGTTTTTTGTGTTTTGTTTCGTTTTTATCTCTAAGGAATTCGTTT